ATATATATATATATATATATATATATATATAATAATATAGTCACGTAAATGAGATCAGATTTGAACTCTGCACAGATGAATTGAGCTCCAAAAGCGAAAAGTAATTCACGGTGCATATCGTCAGAAGTACATGCTTTGGAACGTACAAAAAGCAGTGAAAAAACCATGCAAACATCTGTCGATTCTAGTGGCCTATAAGCATTGATAGTACTGTGTTCAATGGTTGCACTGCGTTGTCCCATAGGCGGAGGGAGGTTTTGGTGACAATAGTGTTATTCGCATTAGTGAAAAGGAAAGAGAGAAAATAAAGGATGGTCCTAAAAATGGCAATGTAAACTGATACAAGAGTGCTCAAGATGACGTGAGATATTATAAATTTTAAGTGCCTGTCCGAATAAATGAGCTCATGCGTGTATGCGTGCAGCTTATGTCCACTTTGGCGTGGAGAGGTAAGAAATGCGGCCTCTATTTAGCTATCACATACGTGTGCGTACATGTGAACTAAAACATGCGCACGTACACAAGAGATATACAAAGAAAAGTGCAACTGGGCGATATGCAAGAATTATAGGCAACGACATCTCCTCTACCCTCTATTATTAGATATCTGGCTCACTCCTCGATCTCTTACTAATTGGGACACAAATAAATTGATGAGGTAAGCATACGTACATACGGGCGCGCAAACTTCCTTACTGGCGTACATACAGGCAAAACACGCGTGAGTAAACATGCACAAGCACACATACACACAGGTGCGAGATAGATAGGTAAGTGGCTCGGTGAGGAGGGGAAGGAAGAGTAGAATACGAGGATAGTTAAGCGATGCTGAATGAGGTAAAGGAACTTCAATGTGGTCAGGGCATTGAGACTCAACAATTGACTGTCGGATTGCCCTGGTTCGTCGACTCAGAGGCGCTTGAACCCGAGGTGGAGGTGTTAGCTGCGGGGATCTGACCTGAGATGGGTTGAGGATTCGAGTTGCTTTTGGTGCAAGCCGACGTTGCAACAGAACCAAGGACCTTTCGCTCTGATCCACTATTATTACCACCGTTGCCAATGACTCCACCACCACTAGGGGTAGTTGAGACAACAGGATTAGTTTGCCCAGCTACATTGCTACTGCTACTGGCAATGTTGGTGCTTGTAGATGATGAGGCATTGTGCCCGCTGGTAGCAATAGCATGGGCAGAAGTGGTATCAGAGACATCCTGCCCAGTTGTCGACTTCGTGTGACTTAACAACACATCGTTCTGCTGTCTGTTGGGCTGGCCTACAGGGTCTGGTCAATAGAGAAATGAAGAACGAGGTTGGGAAGGGAATGAAAACAATGGTGTGTGCAAAATCGAAAAAACAAATGAGAAGATAAGTATCAAAATGCATTAGAATGCAAGTAAATAAATATAATAATAAGTATAGAAATCGTAATATTAATATTTAGACAGACTAATGGTTATATATAGTAAAATGCCAGATAAAATCAAGCCTTCTCTTTAATAAGGCACCATCATCTTCATCCGTAATCAGTGTCGAAATCACAAATTCATTTTCATTCTTAAATGATATATATACTTCCTCCGATGCTGTCACGAAAGTAAAATGATTAGTATTAAGGAATAAGTATCAATTAGTAGCAGATCAGCACTTCGAACAAGACCTGTGACAATCAAATGAGGAAATATAGTTCTGCGAAAAAGAGACCCAAAATCAGATGTCGCAACAAAACAATAATAGACATGGTAGCAATAGAATTTCTGGCTTTTATCTCTTGCATATTTATAGGAGAAGTTGACTCGCTAAACTTTTAATGATACAAATGGAAGCAAAACAGATGATGCCGAATGGGCGAAGCGCCCCTTAATTGCACTTGCCAAGATTGAGTAGTCATTTTAAAAACCCAATGCCCACACTGGGTCGCGACTAGGGAAATAAAACAGTTTTTCGCTCGGTGATGTGTGATTGTGCAAAATAACACGTCAAATATGCAGAACAGTTGGGCTTCAAAGAATCCTTAATTAGATTGATGTTGGAGTGCTTTTGATTTCTTTTGAAGAGGTGAGC